TGTACTGCTCCAGTCGCGTGCTCCCAAATCTCCTGCCTTGTCATTTCATTTCGGAAAACGCCCGCTGTAGCAAAAGGGCTCCGCAGATCACGTCATTGTTTGCCAAGATTTCTGCAAAAAGCATGTCGTTAGATTCGCTGACTGAATAGATGCTTGAGACCGGTACCCCCGTTAAATCAACTCCAGCAATCTTTTGCGAGCTGAGGGCAATGATTGTGAATAGCAACACAGGCCCTTGCTCGGTTGCAAGGTTTCGGGCAAGTGCGCCTGCTCCGTGTTTCGGTAGTCGTGCCAGCAATCGTCAATGGAAACGCAAGCCTCAGTTAGCAGTTCGCCGTCCATATCGGTGAGAGATACATCCACCGCAGCATCTTCGATGTTACTCCTGTGGGAACTTCTGCTCTCGCATAATGGCTCCATCAGATGATGTAATGGGTGACTGAGTGAGTCTGACAGAATGTATCGATGAGTGGCAGAGATGAGGTGACTGAGTGACACTGCTGTTCCTCCCACTGGGCTATGCCATTCAGTTCGGGCTTGTGAGTGTTGCAGGTGTAGAGGCTCCCTTTGACACAGGTGGAAGCAAGACATGTCTCAATGAATGGCTGGAGCCGTGTGTGCTTCAAGTTTCAGGGTTTGGCTGCTTTGCGTCGCTGCGATAAACACAGGTTTTCCAGGCAACCACCCATTCTCCCTCGTAGGTGTGGCAAACCTGACCTTCGTGTCTCTTGTCTCAGGAAGCCCTCGCACGAGATCCAGTGGTGCCGAGCTTGGGCTTCGTCTCGGGGTCTGTGCAGTTTCAGCGCAGGGGCTCTAGGTCTCGAAGGGCGAAATAGGAAGACTGTGGCGAGAACCGCGTCTGGGTCGATGGCCGCCAATTGAGCAGGTTCTCGAGGTACAAATTGTGCCACTGAAAGCGACCTGAACTTGTTTGTCGAAGACGGGGACCTTCGTCTCAAACCTGAAGCTAGAGTTCTCGACGCTAACAAGCAAGCACCCCCTATCGACTCAAGACGAGGTTCGATTCCCGGGGCTCGTGGCTTCGTCTGTGACAGGCATCTCCTTTCTGTGTATTGGGAGGGTGATCTCCGAGCCGAGACACTCCAAAAGAAATTCTTGTTGCAGGTCTTGGGCCACTGGCGTGATTCCGAGAGCCAATCAGGTTCCCGGTCCACTGCTTGTCTGCGCTTCAAGGGGATTTTCTGGGTGTCGGGCCCATTCACGAGAGCACGCCGAGATATTGAGACTTGAGGCTGTGTGCTCGCCCCCAAAAGCGACCGCCTCCAGTGGGTCTTCCGCTTCGCGTGGCCAAGCACGAGGCCAAGACTCGGCAGGTTGCCCCTTTTTGGCGGAAGAGTTGGGTTGGGAAGGGGCCAAGGCCTCCATCCGAGGAAAGGAAAGCAGCCTGAGCTGAGGGGCTTTCTTGGCCCAAGGCCAGGGGACGCTGCACAGGAGGAGAAGCCGAAGCCGATCCCAAATCCACAAATTTGCGTGAACTTCCGTGCATTTTTCAGGAGCCTCTGCTCTTGCCCCCCCTGATTCGTTCGGGCTGCAGGCCGGGTCTTGCTTTGGGCTCATGGGCGCTGTAAGCTCTAGAGGCACTTTCCTGCTTGAGAAGTTGCACTCTTATCGGACAAGTAGTGTGGTTTTTGCAACAGACCTCGGAGTGTTTGGGAGGGGGGAGCCAGTTGCGCGTTCTTCCCTACCCCACACTTGTTGTAGCGGGGCTTCTGTTTCTAGATACAGGGTTGTTCATCTCATGTACGGATCTGGCCCCATGCGGGCGATTGCAGCATCATACAGGTCGGCGCTCTCGCGCGTGTCTTCCGAGACCTGGGAGTTTCAGATCGAGCTGGGACTCTGCAGAACTCTTGTGCCCAGAGCTTGTGGGGGACTCCAGCCTCACGAGGTGCCCGAGTCCATGCAAAGCTCAGGGAGCCTTATGCAGGACCGGGAGTGCTCCGATGTCCCATGTCTGGATCCATGCCCAAAGCCCCAGAGAACTTGTGCCAAAGGCCTTGTGCCAAAATGAAGAAGCTTCTCTACCTAAGACGAAGCCAGCGACTCTACGAGGACCCATAAGACGCCCAAGTGACATCAAGAGAGATGGCTCACGTGAGCCACTTGGAGATGTCCCCTTTTTTTTGTGTTTGAGAGTTGCAGCCTCTGCAGCCTTTGCAGCCCTGAGGTCCAGGTGCTTGCAGCCGTGAGGTCGGGCATCGGCTGGGGCTGGGCTGGGGATCGGCTGTGATCGGCTCTTTTTTTGGTCTCCAGCACGGGAGCCGTGGAGCTGAGGACTAGGGGAGGCTTACTTTACTGCGGCGAGAAGGGATTTGCGCGACGTGTGTCGGCTTCTCACAGCTGGGTTTCGTCGAGCGTTGGACCGGGTACGAACAACTTAGGCCACCTTCCGTGTTTGCCCAAGATCTGGACGAGCAGTGCTAAAACATATGCACCTGGACCGAGTTGTAGACTCTTTCGCTTCTTACTGCCCCAACACACCTTTTCCGTCTGCACTTGGGCACCCACTCGTGGGAGGTCCCGAGTACCGACCGTTGACTTCGATCAATGCCGGAACACGCCATCATGGGCAGGTCGGCGAGCGTTTGCTCGGCGAGTCCCAGGACTTCTCCAGGCGCAGCATCTCGCAGCTCAGTTTGATGCAGAGAGGCTGATATTTTGGACTGCGGTGCCAAGCTAAATCGTTTGTTGACGGTGTTCCTGTGTGTGAGAGTGTGTATTCATGCAGCTACGTAGCCTTGGCTGTCTCTGGTGCAACCCGGAGGTTCTTTGGGTTCAGGGCTTTCGGGATGCAGCTTGTCTGAGTTGTGTTTGAAGTAGTAGAATATGATATGGAGTTCGGAAACGATTGATTTTTCACAGCTTGGGATAGGACATCGTCGGTACTGACCACGGGGGATGAGACATCGCCGGTAGGATGGGAGGTCCCAGTGTGTCGGGCTCAATGACCGCAAAGCATTGGGACACTTTCCGCACGCTTGCTCCGCCCCAATGTCCCAAAATCATGCGAGGTCTTGAGGTTCCAGGTAGCAGCAGGGCGTAGCTGAAGCCTCCATCAACTACTTACTCTGGAATGTTCGTGGCAGACTCTTCGCACAGACCCCTCTGCATGCTCGTGCTAAACTCATGCAAGCTCTGGTGCACGGAACAAGCCACGAGGAAACTCCAAGCACCGCTGCAAAGTCTGCAGCTGCGTACGTGCACAATCCGAGGCAGTGCAAGAGAAGCACACGGCACCGTAATCCTCACGGAATTCATCTGGGTACTGGCAGCTTCCTTTGCAGGTGCAGGGGTGTGTCGCAAGGTGCTTCAGATGTTTCTACAGCTGGCACTGATAAACAGCATGTTCGTGGCATTCCGTTGTTTCGGCGAGGAGGGGTGCGGACTCGCTTCAACGTCAATGTTCGAGTGGAAACGAAGACATGCCGTGACGGTGCAGAGACACGATGGCGCAAGGGTTCCAATCTGTAAGATTTCGGACTGTTTGGGCGCGGAGCGACCTGCTTGTAGCTCCCAACAACAGCTCGTGCACAAGAGTGAAGGGCATTCCGGAATGCCAGTTGTGGCAGGTCCATGCACTCCACGCTTGCCGCTTGAAGGGCTTTCCACGGGACGCAGTTCCATCCCAGACATGCAGCAGACTTTCCCATCCTTTCATCCCACCCTTTCTGCGCAGTGACCTCCATTGCCTCGAAGGATTTCTGATGGCAGGAAAGCCCACCATGTTAGAAATCCCAAAGAATCCCTTTTTGCCCTGCCCTGTTTTTTGAGAAGGGCAATGCTGCCGGCGATCGGGCCCGATTGCACCACGCTGACTTCCAAAAGGCCAGGGATTTCGGTGGACGGCAGATCCTGGTCGGGTTGTATAGGCTCTCTACTTGAGGTTCTGTCGTGCCGGAGTGCTGGCATCGACGGGCTGGTGAGGAGGCGCCCGCAGCTTCCGGAGCTTAGGGCTGCACTGACACTGGCGCTGCCAGAGTGCCGCGTCTGCCGCTTCTGCCCTTTTGGTTTTATTTTGGGGCTTTTTTTGGCTCTGGCTCTGCTTCCCAGGAGCCTCGGCGCTTCCTACGTGACCTGGTCTTTCGGAGGAAGTCTCTCCAGGTCCCTCTGGGGGAGTGCCCCCGCTTGCCTTCTTGGTCTTCGTCGTCGGGCGTCGGCTAAACCAGCTGCAGCCCAAGTCTCAGTGTCGCTGCAACATCCCAAGTGCGTTGCTGGAGGTGCTAGAGTGCTAGCCCAGCGCCGTGCTCCCACCGCCAGGGAGCTTGGCAACGATCTGCAATCGAGTCTGTTCAGCTGAGCCCCTGCGTAGAGAGAGACAGCCCGACGGACGACGACGGACGACGGGGATCCCAGCTCAAGGCAGATTCCGGGTGATCCACGGATCCACTTGAGAGGCTTGTCTGGGGGTGGGGCTCGGACTGAGTTTTGATTCTTCTGAAGGGGACGCAAGCGAATTCAGTTCTTCTGGAGTTGGGGTTGTGGAAGAGCGAAGCGAGCCTGAACCCCACAACTGCACCCATGACTTGCAGGCTTTATCAAAGCCTCTTGAATCCAAGGTTTAGGCAGTTCTCCGAAGCTTACATTGAATGAAACTGTGTCAGCAAGCTTCGGATTGTTGAAGCTGGTTGTAGCAAAATCATCATGGATTCTGACCGACATGTGGCCAAGGAGTGCGGAGTTAGACGCATGACAACGAGCACAACTGCGCGCCAACAAGACCCGTTGTGCTCAAGCCCCCACACCGCCTTTCTTACATTTCGGACGGCAGAGTGGCTCTGTCCATGTGCTTGTTTCTGCTGCTCTTATATGCAATTGGCGTGGCCGTCGGTGATCATTGCACGGACCAGATTCTGGTTGCATCGGCAACGAGGCCGCGCATTGTCTTGCCCCAGTGCAGCTCCTTTTTATCTTCTCTTTTCGAAGTTTCGCTGCAGTTTGATCAAGGCGACACCCAGTCGAAGTTCACAGAATGGACAGCAATGCAGAACGTAGACTCAAGAATCCACGCTTGCCTTCCCGGCAGCTGCTCGGAAGAGCACCTCCCGGCTGTGGCCTACCTCGTCTGCCTCCTGGCGACCCAGGAGCCTCGCTGCGTGGAGCTGCTTCAGATCGCCGCGCCCGAGGCGGAGATTCTCGGCTTCGTCAAGGTGTCCGTGGCTCTCTTGGTCCAAGGCATGGCCGGGCAGATCCAAACGTGGCTCCTGTCGGACTGGCAGAGTTCCAATGCAAGGGAGGGGCTCATCGAGGCCTCCACGGCTTTGGTGAAGAAGGAGACTGAGCTTCGGAGAAAGGAGCGGCAAGTGCAAAGAAGCCTTCAAGCGCTTCGAGAGCAGAAGCTTCTCCTGAACCGGCACTACACCACCCTGGTCGACACGTGGAATCAGCTCCTCGGCCAGGTTCCGCCCGTTTTGCCACCGGAGGAGGTGGAAACCTTGGAACGTCTCTCCACTGCTGCCCTTGGCACCCTCTCCGACCTGGAAGTCCACAGAAAGCCTCCAGTCCCAGTGAAGAGCGATGCTCGCCCGGTCTTCCCTGGCGCCACCGGAGAGCTTCGAAGATCCGTGGTGCAGATGAGGGGCGTCTGCCTCCGAGATCGGACCTCCGCAACGGAATTCCACAGCCCCTTTGTTCCAGCCGCCGTCCTCACGGGACGGCGCATCGAAGTTGTCCACCAGCTCGTGGAGACGGGACTCTTCCACCCAGCCCACCGCTTCGTTGCAAGGAATGTCACGGCCGAGGACAATGCCACAAAAAGACAGAGGGTCATGTTGGGGCATGTGCAGTTACACACACACACATGTGTGTGTGTGTGTATGTATGTATGTATGTATGTATGTATGTATGTAGGTAGGTAGGTAGGTAGGTAGGCAGGTATGTATGTATGTGTGTACGCATACCCCCAGTGCGTTTGCGCTTCTGCCCCGATTCTCCGATGAACAGGCCAGAGTCACGGATGGACATGGATACCGCATTATCCATGATCGTTATGTTACTTTGCCGGTCTTCACTGAGGGAATCAACACCTGTGAAGTGCGGTTCGTTCCGGCTAAGCTCCTTTGCCGTACATCGTGGGAAACCCCACACTCTAGACGTTCTTTGTCCATGCTCCTTGCTGATGAACAGTTTCAAAAGGCTGATGATGATTGTGCTGCTAGGCTTTGTTCTGAGGGAGAGTTCGAGGAAGCTTGTGTGAACTCGTATTTGTTCTTCTATCATCGAGCTGAATGATTGAAGAAAGGGAGCTTTGCTTTGGGTTTCAGCACGAGAAGCTCCTAGCTCTTTGGATAGAGTCTGGTACGATTTTCTCGAGTTTTGTATAATATAAGTTGAATAAATATAATCAGTTGTATTGAAACAAATTGAAACACTTGGACCATTAAAACTTCGACAAGAAGATTTTATGTTCCTCGAAAATACACGCCGTGACGGCGTACCAATCTCCAGTGTTTTGGGGAGCGCCTGCAATCGTGCTCCTGTCATAGTCTTGTGGCAATTTAGGATCACCAATGACTCATGGGACCTGACTGCCAACAGGGGTCTGTGCCGGCATAATCCCTGTAGGAGTTTGCAGAAGTCTGGAATACGGCGGATGAGCACTGGGCGGGGCTCAGCAGGTTTGTCCACGATGGCCATTCTGCAAGCCAGCGCTGCCCCGATTGTGCAAACATCGGGCATTTCCTTCTTGATGATACACTGATAGATGTGGTTGCGCGAGTCGCCAACCAGGACATTTCGGACCTGCAGGTCCAACGCACCGTTGCCAACTTGCACTCCAATCTGGGCGCAGCAAGTGTGAAACGGTTTCAGGAAGACTTCATTTCGAGGGTTTTTGAGTCTCCCACCATTTTCATGGGCGTAGACGAGGTTCACTGCTTTGAAGCGGTGATTCTGAGTGCCAACCCACGTTCGCGGACGGGAGGCTTCGAAGAGTTGCTCGGGGGCAGGGCAAGGCCCTGGCCACGCTACTCTCCCGAGACGGTCTTTCGACGAGTCCGGGCGCACTACCACCTGACAGCGCAAGCATGCGAAGCATGCGAGTTGGTGTCTGAGGAACTGAAGGAACTGACGCCACTCCCCGAGGTGCTGCTGGATGCACGGCGCGGGGCCTCTCGCCGGGTCTTTGGAAGTGCAGAGGACTCCGAAAGCCTGGCCGAAAGAAGTAAAGAGCCCGGAGTCCTGGCTTCTTGCTTCCTTAATTCTTTGCTCCTGCGCTTACAGGAGTTGGCCAAGCTCGTGGGCGCCACGCTGATTGACTTCGCCGGAAAGAGCTGGGCCAGCAGAGTGAGGTAGACCCCACGAAGCTTCGGAAGCTTTTCTGTAAAAGCAGCGCCCCTGCAAGGTCTCTCTCGGCGGCGAAGGTGTACATCGGAGTTTATGGCGGTCAACTTTTCCAATTGCCTCTGATGCACGAGGGGTCGCTGGTCCTTATCCTGACATGTGAGGTCTTGCTGGCCCATTGGCATGCCACCTTCCTCTTTCGATTCCTCCGCTTGTCGGGCCTCGAGTTGCACCAGATTGAGCATGACGGCTGCCTGGCGCTGCCACCCTCCATGAAGCAGACTGCCCAGAATGCCCTGGCCGAAACCCGTTTGGCACCGATCATGAAGCTAGCAGCAGATATCCATCCAATCAGCAGACTGGCCAACTCCGACATCGTGCTACTTCACAAGGAGTTCCTGTGTGCTTTCCGTCGTCCAAGCGCAAGCTTGGGCTTTGAGAGAGAAGCGGGAATCGCTGCAAACCCTGAGGTTTTGGAGGTTCTCTGGGCAGGCTTTGAAGCCGCCCTGAGGCGGTGTGCCGAGTGGCACATGGACTGTGAAGTGGTTGCCCCAATAAGTTCTGATGCCCGCGGCTGGGCTCTCTTGGCGAACACGAGGTACTCAGATAGCCTTGGGATTCCTCAAGAAGAGCTCGCCATCAAAATTGACTGCGTGGTCGGCGAGTTTTCGGGTTCCGAACGCGGTCTTTACAGGCTGGAAAATACGTTTGCAAGCCGAGTCTATGATCACTTGGCGATGAATGTGACAACATCCAGTGCCACCATGGAGCGGATACGTCAGTTGGTCTCGACGCATCAAGGCCACATGCCATGGTGAGCGAGTTGATGGCCTTCTGCGCTGAAGCTATATCATCTCGCAAGCCAGAAAATATCGACTCACACCTTGCTTAGTGGAAGAGGTCATACAGAGCGCCATGAAGCCACCCATCTCTTTCAAACTAAAACGGAACTTCAACATAACGCATCAGCAAGCAGCTACATGAAGAAACTCCAAGTAAACTGCATGGCAGGGCTCCCTTCATTCGGCAAGATCGGAAAGCTGAGGAAGGCATTGGGATCGGGAGCTGTGGAGCTGTTGTAAAGTCCTGACCTTCGGGTACCCTGGCAAAGAAGACAGCGCCGCTTTGAAAAGCAAATTATTTTACGGCATCCCTCCTGTCTGGGTGCTTTGCCGGGATGCAGTCCAGCGTTGTAAGTGTTGAACATGCGCCACGTGAATACATGTACGTATGCATTTGCAGCATTACGTGCACATCGCGCTTCAATGGAACAGTGTCCTTGTCGAGCATTCACCGACTTGTCAGGGGTGAACAAAGCTTCGTTGGAGGAGTGGCTCGAACACACGTCAATGTGATGAAGACTTGCTAGCGGCGGAAGAGCCTTTTTTGGCTTCATGTGCACGTCATCAAAACCGCCTGTCATTATTTGCGCCGATTGTGCAGGCAGCCACGCCTTTCCATGTGAGCCGTGCCAAGGCCAGAGTCTACTGTGTCTTGGTGAGGGGTGTCGTGGTTTAAGCCAGAATGACAAACTGCTGCGCTGTAAAGGACGTTAAGTGGACTTCAAAGAGCCGTTGCTGTTGAACTTGCCAGCAGATGGCGTTTTAGCGCGACGGCCCGCACAATGATCAGCATCCACCACGAGGCGCGAACTCCGAGTTCGCCCAAGGGCGCAAAGTTTGATGGAGCGAGGGCTTTGTTGGCCTTCCGTTCCTGTTTCGAGAGGTTTGGTCACGGGTGTGACTTCAGAACAGAGGGTCGTCGGAAATTGCCAGGGATGCGTGAAGCAAATTCGACTAGGGAGGCTCTGAGATTATTCGCAGTTTCGATTCCTTGTGGGCCAAGGCCAACCGCCTGAAACTGCGGTGGTTCTCTTGAGGGATGCCGTGTGCTAGCTGCACACATGGGTCGCGATTAGTGAGAACCGTGAAAGCAGCAAGTCAAAGGCTTTAGCGTTTCCACATGTCGGCATTCTCCCCAGGTGCTCGCTGAAGTGAGGCAGCTGTGTCATCGACCTTTGCTCATCAGGCTTCACTTTGAAAACTCGTGATCGTCGTGTCCAATTTCGGAATTGTGGTAGCAGTCGGAGTAATGGAAGGAGAACTAGTAGTGGGGTTGTGGCAGTAGTTGAGGCAGTAGCAGTCGCAGTAGCAGCAGCAGGAGCAGGAGCAGGAGCAGTAGCAGTAGGAGCACCAGTAGCAGTAGGAGTAGCAGTAGCAGCGGCAGTAGCAGTGGCAGTGGCAGGAGCAGGAGCAGGAGTAGTCGTCCTCGTCGTCGCAGTAGTAGTAGTAGTAGTAGTAGTAGTAATAGTAGTGGTAGTGGTAGTGGTAGTGGTAGTGGTAGTAGTAGTAGTAGTAGTAGTAGAAGAGCGTGCTGAACGTGCTCTTCTGCCGAGGCTGCCATGAACTGCTGTCGTCTCCTCCGAAGAATAGTTTCAACCTTGTAGGCCGATCCCCGAAGGAATCCTGGAACCCATGAAGCACGGCGCGCGGCCCTACGGACTTTTCACACGCACAACAGAAGATGAGTCCTAGAGCTTCTGTGCACATCTAGGGCTCTGCAAGTCTTCTGAACTTAACGCTGTGG